GGATGGGATGGGGTGAATGGGATGGTTTGGGATGGGGTGGATGGGATCTGTGCCCTCACCTGCCCCCACAGACGTATCTCTTGACCAGCACAGCCCCGGCCACGGCCGCCACCACGAGCGCGGCCACCACGGCCAGGGCCACGGGCACGGAGCTGCCTGAGGATCCCTGCTGGAAAACCAGGAAAGCACGGAGCTGGGGGGGCAGGGACACCCCAAACACCCCCCTTGAACACCCCTAAATACAACTATCCCCCAAAAAACACCCCCCTCCTCCCGCTGACCCGGGGGATTAACGGCCACCACAGCCACCACAGAGCTGACAGAAAAGTGGGAAAACCCGGAGCTGGGGGGGCAGGGACAGCCCAAAACACTCCTTCCCTTCCCCCCCAGACACCCCAAAACACCCCCAAACACCCCCATCCCCCCAAACACAGCTGCCCTCCCGCCGATCCCGGGGATTTAATGGCCACCACAGCTGGGACCACTGGGATGGAGCTGCTGGAAAACCAGGAAAACCCAGAGCTGGCGGGGCAGGGACACCCCAAACACCCCCCCCCGAACACCCCAAACACCCCCCATCCCCCCAAACACCCCCCTCCTCCTGCCAATCCCAGGGATGAGCAGCCCCAGATATGGGATTGGGGCGGGTTTGGGGAGGGGTATCCCGCCCATCCCAGAATTCCCGGCTCCCTGGGGACACCTGGAGCTGTCCCAGCACCCACCAGCTGCCCGGGGCTGAGCAGGTCGCTGGTGCATTTCTTCTTCATGTCCGTCTCCTCCCGGCTCGGGCTCTCCCCTCCAGAACATTTGTCCCCTGGGATTTTCCGGTACCTGGGAGCGGGGAGGGGACACCCGGTAACCCCGCGGCTCCCAGCACTCCTTCCCGGGGATCCCACAGGACTGGGGGGCACCGAGGGGACAGCGAGGGGGATTCCTGGTACCCGCTGGTGCGGAGCAGCTCCCGGCGGCCGTACAGGCAGAATTCCAGGTCGTGGCCCTTCAGCTCCGGCTGCTCCACACACTCGGATTGGTTCTCCGGGCGGTAGTACCCGAAATCACTGTGGGAACAGGGAATGGGATGGGATCCCGTGGGATGGGAAGGGAATGGGGACTGGTTCTCTGGGTGGTAGTACCCTAAATCACTGGGAACAGGGAACATGCGGCATCCTGTGGGAACGGGAAGGGTATGGGATGGGACAGGAACAGGAATGGGATGGGAATGGGAATGGGATGGGTTGGGAATGGGAATGGGATGGGT